CGTTAGTTGAATCTATCAGTTGAAACCTCTTGTTTACAAGCGTTTTACTCTAAACGAAAAGCAATATAAGCAGGAAATGTTTCAAATAAATACTTTTCGGGAAAGGAAAACTGGGTTTTGCGTCCATGGAAAATCGCATGGTCTTCGAGAGGTAGAAGAAGGGCGAATTCAGTTTTAGAACTTCCTTTTTTCAAATGTCTGATGTTTTTTTTTTACCAAAAACTCAGTAATAAACTAGTGTGACCGTACGTTGTTTTTCCGTACCAATAATTGGGGCACTGCACAAATATATATTGAGATCCCTGGACAAGCCATAACTTTTCTCAGTCAAACTGTCCAATGAAGATGTCCAGACTCTTTCTACTTGCAGTGAACTACGAACAGATACGGAAATGGTCAACGAAGGAATTTCCGCATGGGTCCTGAGCGAGTATTTTTAATATTAGCAAGGTCATTCTGTGGCGCATTCTTGATGATAGAACCGCGCCTAGAAACAAGAAGGGCAGACTAAAACGGCCAACGAGAAAGCAAGGCAACGTACACTTAAACAGCATTATTTTATGCCCATTGAAACCAGTCATGGAAAATATCTATCAATTTTGTCTATGAACATAATAAAGAAAATGATACACGAATTTTAACTTCACCAACAAAAGGCCACGATCAAGCTATTTTTAGAGAACGCTTTTTGTTCGCCAAGAACGGCATTGATTACCGGTCATCATTCTGTAAGAGCATATGATTCTGTGATGAGATCTTATTTTTAGATAAGTCTGTGAAGTCAACTTACATGGTCATGGATGGAGACAACTTTCCAAGTGAACACGGTACGCCGACGGCCATCTTTAAGAACGTTTGACGGCTGATTGGTTAGATGACTATTAAAGCTAGAGAGCGGTTAGTCTAGCGGTTGGCTTCGGACACCATCAACAGAAAGTGGTTTGCCGATACTACGAGAGTTGCCTTCGGTTACAGCGCATGCATAAATGAATGAATTTACACAATGACGCCCCGGTCCATTGCTCTGAAGAGGTATGAACCTGACAAGGCCCATACCTATGATCTAGCTTTTTAGGCAACAACTAGCTTCGCCGCATGGGCCTCTAATCTATTCTTTTGCCGGCGAACAGCCCGGATCTTAATCCTATGGAAGATATTTTTGCAATTGCCAAAATTGGCACAAGTTAAAAAAGAGTCACTTCATGCAAGAAAAAAACTTGATTTAATGATCACATAGAATAAACTACTCTAGAAAACCTGGCTACCTTCATATCTGATAGACTTTGTGCTATTTGGAACGCAAACTGACAGTCAATCGAATACTAATTGTTTAATAGCTGTCGGTATTTTTCATTATTTTCCTCTTTCATACGCAACCCCTTTTAAGTACCGTTAGATAGCCTTATCTGAATTATTTGTAGAATAGCCATTTTTGAAATTCTAGTTTTTTTTGTGAAAATAGAGAACAGAGAATCCGGATAGCAGTAAAAAACGAGCAATGATCTAAAGAAATGCACAATACTTATTGGGTACTGACATCATGAAAAAGTTAGCTTAATATCGTCTAGCAGCTATAAACGTTCATATGTGGGTAGTTAATATCGCTGGCGAAGACAGGTGTTTCGCCGCGGTCCTGCCATTCAATTAGTAGACACATCTTTCAAGCTGTGGAAATAAATTTTATCCTCTCGGCAGTTTTCCCAAACGCCTGGCAAAAGAAACCAATTATTTTTAGACGTAAAGGCACAGATAGAGAAACCAGTAATACAAAAAAAACAGGAAATCGAACTAACCAAATTTAGACAAAGAAAGACAAAGATGCGGAAGGAGGCCCGATCGGCCACGACCTGTTTCAGGATGGAAAAGGCATGACGACTTAGTCCAGAAACACTGTCCCTAGTGTAGCTAGAAGCTGAAGGTTGAGTGGTGTAAAGGGGAAGACCGGCAGCCGAGAATCCGACAAAGTGTCGGCTGAGAAGGCGGTCATGCGCATTAACGGTCGACTGGTTCAACAGAGAGGAAGCTAGGGCAAACAAATGGTAAAGACAAGGGTAAAACCGGTCGTGAGTGACATGTGAATTAAACGTGCGCAAGGCCAATAATGTAAACATTATCACATTAGTCCTCAACAGAGTTGATTAAGCCACTTGCGGTACACACAATCGCGGTAGGTGGTGCGACCCATGGCATTCGCTAGGTTCCTACATTGATTAAGTTGAAGGTTCAATCGTGAGAAGAAAGGGTTGGCAGACACGGCATCATTTCAGCATGAACATGGCGCAGCTGCACATAGTTCGGTATATTCAGGGTTAGTAGACATTGTCTTTAAAAACACTATTAGAAGTTGTACAATATTTAACTTAAAATAACTATGTTACTATTAAGAAGGGAGTAACATTTATTTTGGAAAGGTGGGGTTAAGTATAGGCCCC